ACGGTGGGTCCCCCAGCCTCTCTCCCTCCTCTTGGCTGCTGTGGAGAAGGGAGTGGGTCTGGGCAGGGGGTAAAGCTCTCCTCCATTCCCCCCATCCCAGCTCTACTTGTATGGGGAATGGATGAAGGTGGTGGGGGCTGGTTTGGGCGGGATGACGGAGCGGTACTGGGTACCTGCAGGAAGGGGGGGCCCTGACTGTTCCCCCTCTCCAGGTGATCCGCCCTGAGCCATGCAGCGTCTGCGGCTCCCGCATTCGCTTCGGGAAAGCTGCCGTCAAGTGCCGCCAGTGCCAGCTGCTGCTGCACCCCAAGTGCCGGGAGCAGTGCCCCAGCCCCTGCACGCCCCGGCCTCATCACCACGCCTGGCCCCGCGAGGTGAGGGAGGCACAGCGGTTTTTGGGGGCTCCTCCATGTCCTGGTGGGGCTGCCAGGCTATCGGCCCCAGGATGCTGGGGCTCTGGCCGCCCCGGCTGCAGGGCCGGGCGGCGGGCGCAGAGCGGATTGGCGTTTTCCTCCCCAGGGCGTGCTGGCTGACTTCGCCCCCGCCACGCCGCCCCTGGTGCCCGCGCTGGTGGTGCAGTGTGTGACCGAGGTGGAGACGCGAGGCTTGACGGAGGTAGGGGCCGGGGCGGTGGGGGTGGCGATGCTGCGGTCCCCGGGGGCTGAGCCCCTCTCCCTACGCCCCAGACAGGGCTGTACCGGGTGCCGGGTGCGGAGCAGCTGGTGCGGGAGTGGAAGCGGAGGCTGCTGCGGGCCAGAGGTGCACTGCCCGCCCTCGGCAGTGTGGCTGACATCCATGTGGTGTGCGGAGTGCTCAAGGATTTTCTGCGGGGGCTCAAGGAGCCGCTGGTCACCTTCAGCCTCCACCCTGCCTTCCTGCGGGCTGCTGGTGAGCGGGGGTCCCGAGCCCGGGGGAGTGGGAAGGGGCTGCTCCTCCCCTAACAGGTCTGTCTGCGGTGCTGCTGCAGATATCCCGGACGATGCAGCCTGCGGCACAGCCCTGCGCCACGTGGTAAGCAAGCTGCCCCCGGCCAACAGGGACACCCTGGCCTTCCTCATGCTGCACCTGCTCAGGTGAGGGGCTTGCCCTGGCACGGGCTCCCGTGGGTCTGTCCCTATCTCCTGGCTCTCCGCCCAGAGCTGGGAAGCCGAGCTGAGGATGAGGGGCCCCTTGGTCCAGCAGCACACTCAAACTGTCCATTGCCCCTCGCAGGGTGTCACGCAGCCCCGACTGCAAGATGGACATCCTCAACCTGTCCCGCGTGTTTGGTCCCACACTGGTGGGACACAGCTCAGCCAACCCCACACCGCTCGCCATCATGGAGGACACACCGCGGCAGTGCAAGGTGAGTGGGTCCCCAAGGTGTGGGGTGTACCCCGGGTGCTGCTGGCATCCCCATCCTCCATCCCTCCCTGCCCAGGTGGTGGCTCGGCTCCTCTCACTGCCGCCCGACTTCTGGAGAGCCTTCGTGGGGATGGAGCAGGAGAACCTGGTGCCGACACCAGCCCCGGGGGGCGAACGTGGTGAGGCACAGGAGCCCCAGCCCCCTCCCTGCCCTTGCCCTGTGGCTGCTGAAGGGTCCTGGGTGCCTGTGGCTGGGCTGGGGTGCGATGACCATCCCCCTCCTCTGTCCCACAGAGCTGTTCTTCCGCCCCATCGCCTCCCCAGAGCCCAAGCCAGGCCAGCTGAGCCCAGCTGGCACCTGCTGCCTCCCCAGCACCCTGCGGAGCTGCGTGGGCACAGCTGCCCGGCCCCAGTGAGTGCTGCTGCCGTGGGTGGGGGGCCCAGGGGAGATCGCTTTGCACCCCTGACTCATCTCTCCCCACGCAGGCAGGGGCCGGCCCCGAGGAAGGTGGGTCGGTTCTTCCCTTCTCCGGTGTAGCCTGCGGCAGTGGCTCTCTCAGGGGGCACAGAGCTGGCACCAGAGGAGGAACGAAGCCTGCGGCACCAGGCAGCTGCCTGTGGGCTGGTGGTGCAGGGCTCCAAGCCCTGCTCTGCTTCCCTGGGGACTGGGGAGCAGGGCTGGCTCAGCTCGGCTGCGGTGGCGGGGACGCTGCCCCAGCACTGTACTTAGGACCTGGTTTGTATTAAATGTTTGCAGCAAAACAAGCCTGGCTGTGGCTGCTGTCTGTTCCTCCCTGCTGCTGTCAGGTGCCAGGGTTTGGGGCTCACTGCCATGACAGAGCCTGGCTGGGCAGCAGGCAGGAGCTGTACGAACAGCAAGGGTGAGCAGTGCTCCCCAAAACCCCTGCTTTTGCTGGGCAGGGAGGGCCCCCTCCTGCCCTAGCTGAAGCCCTCCTCTCCCTGCCCTGGAACCCAGGATATGAGAGGCCCCCCCCTTTCAGCCCAGATGTTGGCCTCAAGTAATCAGAGGAGCTGCTGCTGAGGGCAGGACAACCTTAAAGCATTTCCAGACTTCCTGGCACCTCAGCAGAGGCCCCTTTAACTCCTTCCTACCCTCCAGCCCCTGGGCGGGAGCTGTAAAGCCCAAGGAGGGTTGGGATGCACAGCTCGCATTCCCTCCAAGAGGGGGAAGCTGGCGGAGGCTGTAATGGAGCAAGGGCCCAGGAAGGGCTTGTCCCCCCTGATAACTCTGCACAAAGGACAGCCATGACAAGGGGAGCTTTGGGAAAAGGGGCCTTGCACAACAGGGCTGAGAAACCTTTGTCCGTACTAAAACCCAGGCCAGATGTGGGACACGGGAGAAAATTCATGTACGATCCTGAAAGCAAGTACTTTGGTGCAGTTTCCCCCAGCACAGGGGTGTTCACCAGCGGGCAAGGAAATTAGCACATCCAAGGCAGAGGCGAAACTGAAGGAGTTTAATGTGCTTAAAGCCAGGGAACAGCTAATCCCTGCCCAGGACCACAGGGGAACTGGCACAGGAAGGCACAGAGCTGGGAGCAAGGATTTACTGCAAATCAAACTGGGGTGCTACCGGATGGATGGAGAATCCCTAATGCAGTGCCTCACTGAAGGCAAGAGGCGTGATTGGGCCCCCGGCAGAGTGCAGGGCTTTAGCACAGAGCTCCAAAACCAGAGGAGAAGAGAGGGAGGTAAGTGGATAAAGGGCAGCATTGGTTATCATAGACTGTGCCAGGATCAGCAGGGAGCTGCCTTCAATAAAAACAGGGTTTTTTCAGACACAGCAGGGTGGTAGATCTCTGCTACCTGCACACATGTAAGTTGATTGCTCTGGTGCCCTGCAGACAGGGCTGGGTGCGAGGGAAGACATGCAGAGAGCCCCCCCAAGCTACAGCCATGCTGGGGCAGGGGACGCTGTTAGCCCACCGGGGTGGCAGGGGCCTGCTGCCGGCACTGTAAGCCCTGCCTAGGCAGCCTGTGCAGGTCTCAGCCTGATGGGAGCAGGCTCGGCAGGGCTGGCAGCTTTCCTGGCTCATACTGGGCCCTCAGGGGTGCTGGGGAAGGGGTGCTTTTGCAGCTCCCTCCAGGGCCAGCAGCCTGCCTGCCCAACCCAGCCCTCCTGTGCCAGTGCCCTTAGGACAGCTTGGTGCTGCTCTGTTTTCCCAGTGGTAGGCAGGAGCCCAGCTCAGGCTGTTGCAATCACGCTGCTGAAATTGGGATCCTCACAACCGGCTCCTGCAGGGCGAGTTGCCTATGCAGGACAGGCGTATTCAAAGCTCCCTAGCCTCTGAGATGGGTCAAGCCCTTCCAGGGAGCTGCTGACAGCAACTTTTGCAGAGCAGGGAGAGCCCAGTGAGGGGTGGCGAGACTGTGCTGGTAGTGCCCTTGGGTGGAGAAACACCCAAAGCTCAGGACCTCCACGAGATGCTGCAGGCAGCAAGCACTCCCTCAACAGCCTCAGCCCAGGGCTCTGCACAGGCACGCAGCCTGCTGCAAGGGCCATGTGCTGTCCCTGAAGCCTTCACCCTGCCCCAGGGCTGGTCCCTGGGCTGCAAGAGAAGCAGCACGCAAGGCTGATGCTCACCAGCTTTAATGTCTGTCTGGAGTAGGAGTCAGGCACTTGCAGGGCTCCTGGCCTGCACCTACCCCTCTTGGGGGCGCTGGGAACCTCCCAGGAGGTGAAGCCCCAGCACAGGCTCTTGCTGTGGGGCACAGCAGGGAGTGGGGGGCTGGCACTGGCCCCCCGCTGCAACCCAGTGGGCAGTTGACTCACAGGATAATCTGGTTCTTGTAGCTGCGGCTCAGCTCCTTGTGAGGAAGGACGATGGAGTTGAGAATAACGACCTCAGCGGGGATGGTGACACTGCAGCCTGCGGGGAGAGTATGGGTGGGTGAGCAGGAGGGGAGAGACTCTGCCCCACTGCACAGGGCCGGGGCAGCTGGGTGCGGGTAGGACATACCCAGGATTGTGATGGATGGCGTGAGGCGCCCGTCCCGGAAGAGGGTCTCGCTGTCGATCTTGGCATAGGGATCGTTGGGGTTGGGGTCACTGGGCGTTCCTTCAACCCGGGCCCAGCGCCCAATGGTGCTGTCCCAGCCCACAATGGTATTGAGGACACAGGTGTGGTCCTGGGGCAAAGGAGAGGGGGATGAAGGGTGCTGCTGCCTCCCTGCAAGGGGTAGGGGCTGACACCCGCACCCTCGGGCAAACCCTGCTTACATGGAGTGAGGCACCATGCAGGACGATGGACTCTCGCACACGCACGCCAGCTCCCACCGTCACCCCCTCCCCAATGGAGACGTTAGGGCCCAGCTGTTAGGACAGAGGAAGACGATAAGGTCAGGACAAGGGCACCCTCAGCACCCCCAAGCATCACCCTGCTGCAGAGTCCCCAGGGTCTGCACTCACCACTGCTGTGCTGTCGATGGAGGCCGTTGGGTGGATGTACACGTTCCCTGCAACACAAGGCAGCCGAGTCAGGAGAGGCAGCTAGCAGGAGCACCTGCCTCTTGGATCGGGGACGTCCTGCCCGGGGGTCCCACTTCCTCCCAAGGCAGCCCTGTCCCCACGTGGGCAGCCCCCAAGGCAGTGGGGGGTGTCAGAGGGGTACCTCGGATGACAGGGCCTCCGGGCTTGTTCTGGGCCAGCCTCTCGGGGTGGCTTTTGCTGTACTGGTTCAGGTAAAGGCGGCTGGCATAGATAGCAGAGCTGGGGGAGGAAAAGCAAACGATTGTCATTACCTTTCCAGCACTGCTAGGGCAGAGGAGGGTCTGAACTCAGCACTCCCCACTCACCCACAGGGCCCTGCCTGGGCACCCTCCTCTCCTATCTCTGGTACGGACCGCTCGATGCCCCAGCCCTTACCCTGCTGATTTGATCTGGCTCCAGAAGCCATCAGTTTTGTAGACATAGAGTTTGCCGCTCCCAGCCAAGGCCGTGAAAACGTCCTGCTCCAGCCGGATCACTTCTGCACGCTGCCAGCCATTGGAGCTCTCCTCTCTGCAAGCGAGAGGCCCGTTAGACACCCACCCCCATCGCAGCCTCAGCCAGGGACCCAGCAGCTACCCTCCCCAAATCTGGGGGCTCTGGTGATCCTGGATTCCTTCCTAGCCATGCACTTCTCCCCAAAGGTGGGGACAGCCCCAGCTGCCAGGCTAGGCCTGCCCAGCCCCGCTGAGCCCCAGAGCAGCAGAGGGATGGGGCTCTGCCAGCTGAAACAAGCTCTTAGCCAGAAGTTGATGGTGCAAGAGCCCCACCCAGTCCAGGTGGGTGTAAGAGCAATGGATCCTATGATCCTGCCCCCGCTCCAGAGCCCTGCACAGCTGGATTTTTGCTTGGGTGGTGGTGGAGATGCCAGGTGACAGGCTACTGGTTCAGAGAGCTGGAGGTGGGAGCAGAGCGTTCCTAGGTGAAAGGCTTGCTCAGCCCCTTGTCCAGAGCTCAATGAAGATGGGGTGGGAGGAGAGGAAGGGAGAGGGGGAGTCTCAAGCAGGCCAGGAGGGGAGCAGAGGAAAGAGCAGCCTTGCAGAGCAGCCTGGAGCAGGGAGGAAAGCATGCATTACTGCTAGGGACGATCCAGCCCAGAGAGCAGCCAGTGCAGATGCAGAGGGAGACTTACCCAAGGTAAGGACAGCTTGTGCAGGACCAGGAAACAAGTGAGTGATGGCAGAGGAGGAAAGAAGATAGAGAAAGAATGGAGGATGAGCGTGCCGCTGCAGCCCCAGGAAACAGTGGGGTGGGAGGGACCCGGGGCAGAGAGAGGCACTCACAGCACTAGCTCCTGCTGGTTCCTCTGGAAGACCTCGCCAATGTGCTGGAAGATGGCAGGTGTGAACAGGTAGATGCCACAGTTAATGATCTCACTGACAAACGTGCTAGGCTTCTCCACATAGTGCTGGACCTGGAGGCGAGGGAAGAGATGTGAGTCCCGGGGTGCAGTCCCTGTGGCCAGCGTCACACCCTCTGTGGCACGCTAGGAACACATGGCACCCACTGCCCACGCTGTGCCCGGCTCCCCGAGGCCCTTCAGTACCTCCTGCGTGTCCGCATTCGCCACGATACAGCCGTAATTCAGCGCCTGCGTCCTGTTGGCCTGTGGAGCAAGGATGTGTTAGCCACGGTGGAGCAGCAGGCAGGTGGATGCAGAGCAGGTGAGACCCAGAGCTCGCGCCCAGCGACCCATCTACCGCCGCAGCTACTGGCTTCTCGACAAGCCCACAGCAGCACACTGCTGCTCCTCTGCTCCCCAGCACTGCCACTCACTGTGGTACCCAGAATGACAAAGCTGTGCGCGTCCCCGTGCTGCTGCCGGAACTCCAGCATCTCCTGCAAGGGGAACTCTGAGCACACGTCCGCGTTGAGGACAAAGAAGGCGTCAGCACCACCCGACAGGATCTGGTCTCGGAAGTGATAGATGCCACCACCCGTACCCAGCGCTGCATACTCCTGGAGATACCTGCAAGCCAAGCAGGGAAAAGTGAGGTCTTAGGGAAGCGGGGGTCTGGCGGCACTGCCCGGCAGCAGGGCAGGGAAGGGCTGGAGCGACCAGGCAGCAGCGGGGCTCACGTGGATGTTGGCAGAGGGGAAGGAGGCAGTGGCAGCTTGGAGCTGGGCTGGAGAAGCACCTTTGGAGCAGGAACCAGCTCAGGCAGGGCCCGGGGCAAGGAGATTTGGCAGAACTAACGCGGGAGGCTAGCTGTGCCCATCCACGCCGGGACAGGGCCCACCTGCCCGAGGCCCAGGCCCTGGCTGGGGGCTGCAGCCCGGGGAAGGCGGGTGCGGGACAGAGCGGGGCTGTGCCACCGTGGGTACCCCGGGGGCGGGGGGGCTCCTGCCCACCTGATGGGGATCTTGAACTCCTGCTGCGCCGACACCAAGAAGCGGCTGAGGGCTTCGTGGGGCTGGTAGAAGCCCATCAGCAGGATCTCCTTCATGCCGGGCACCTGGGGAGGGAGGGAGGGATGGGGCAGCGTGGGGAGCGCGACCTCGGCCCGCCCCAGCCCCGGCCCTCCCGTACCTTGGCGCAGG